CGCATCCTTTGGGATTCTCCCCCGACCTCCTAGCTCCCTTGACTTTTTGTCCCTGGTCCTCTGCACCCAGGTTTACGGTGTGGTGTTTCTGCTTCCGGATTTAACACTCACACCAGACTGTGAGCAGCCTGGGGGCCTGGTCGTGTTTAGTAACGTGCCCTTCCCCCACTACGGATCAAAGCTACGAGGAGAGTGAAAATCAGGAACTTCTTTGGTAAGCAGTTTGCCCCTTAGAGTAGATTTTAGAGTTATTCCTCAGATGTGCTGTAGGTTTGCAGCCTTCCCTCAAATCTATGATTTTCTTTATGAATATCCTCTTGGAAGTAGTAGAGCGTTGTAACAGTTGTTCACTCCAGAATCTTCAAAGAGTAAGCAGATAAGGCCTCTTTAGCGGGGCACTCCATCATGCCCTTCAGCCCCACTCCTCCATGTAAATTGACATTTCCTCTTCCTGAACAGTTAACACGGGTATTCATGTTTAGAGTGACTTGTTTTTAGAATCCAGAACAAAAGACAATAAAATGGGAATAGTTTGAAACAGCAGACTTGATGCCTCTGTTGTGTAGGTATTTTTAAAGAATTTCTGGCTGATGATAATGAAATAGAACAGAATTCCTTCATAATTAGGACACAGCTTGAATTATGTGTCTGATTGTTGCTGAGATTATTATAAGTCTAATGTATGAACAATCAAGCAGAGTTCTGTGAAGACATGACAGGATAGATATTAAACAGAAGGTTATACAAATTCTTAGTCCCATTATTTCTCTTAGGAAAAGGCAATCCTGTAAAATCCTGTCTTCCGAGGACAAAAGGCTTCTAGGTACAGTTGGACTGTGTACTGAGTTTCTGTCAAGATGCTTCTGTTGGCTGGATATTTTCAATGAAAGTCATGAAATAAAATAATTATTTAGTGATTACTGCAAGTTAAAGCACTGCAGAATAATCAGAATCATCCTTTGTATCCCATGGAAGAGATGGGTTCCTTTGGCCTGCTCATCCTGATCTTTCTCAGAAGGAACTGGATAGGGTGACCATTGACTGAGAATACATTCACTTATCAGGAGTTCATGGGCTTGATTTAGTTACTTTTTATGAATATACATTATTTCTTTTAACATTTTTGTGAGATTTCATACAAAAATTCTGACTTCTCTGAAAAGGCCCGTGTATTTTTTTTTAATTCAGTGGAGGTGTGTACATTATACTGTCTTATTTCTCTGGATTCTATTTTGATTTTTAGGTAGAAAAATGATTAAACTAGAGCAGGATTTGGGCGTGTAAGCCAAATCAGCCCCTTAGGCTTAGTATAGGGATTTTTTTTAAAGACAGTGGTTGGCTCATCAATGTGATATCAATAGATTGAAACAAATAAAGACCATTCTGAAATAACTGTGACTTTTGCTTTTTACACCCTGCCCCCTTCTTTGAAGATAATTGTCCTCAGTTTCACTTGAACTGGAGTTTGAGGAACAGTTGTCCTGAACCAGGGCTTAGAGACTGCATGAGTGTATTCCTTGATTTGGAAGAACTAACTGGCTCTTAAGGAAATGTGGTCTCTTTAATCAATAAAGACATTTTGCACAACTGTATTTTTAAAACTCAAATTGGAAAATTACTGAACTACACTAGCATACCCTGATTCCCTTCAACCCAGGGAAGTGTTATTTAAGTAGAAGGTAGTGCTGGAATAAAACTTGTAATTGTTTTTTAAACTGTGGCCTTTCAGAACATTAGCTAGGCAGTAACTTGGCTTTTTGATACACCCACTGTGTTCCATTGTTTCCTGGACTACCTTCTACTTTGAGAATTAAGTTTTCTATGCTTGTGAGATGATAACATTTTCTGATCATTTCCTTCTGACCTGTTTCTCTTCCCATCTCTCTTCAGTGAGAAGACAAGATGCCCATAGTCACACGGCGGCTGAGAGATCCAGACATAAACCCTTGCTTGTCGGTAGGGTGGTTTGCTTTTCATTGTCATGAGTGTTAACTTGGGAAAACCACTCTTAATTTTGTGGGCATCTGTTTTATACAGTTACTGAATAAAGTATTATTCTGTGAAAAAGATATTCCTGGCCAGTGTATTTTATTTCACTCTTAGCATTTTTAAATGACCAAAATGTAGCTAACAAAGACTCTTTTCTTCAGTTTTGCTTAGTTGTGAAAGAAGCAGTGTTTGGTTGTCACTGTAAAACTTGACAAGCATATGTAATGCTAAGGAAAATCCTGAGTCTAAACATGGCACAAATACAGCAAATTTAAAAACAATGGGTTTAATCACAGCAATTATTTAATCTGATTTGAGACAACCTGGCTGAGTCATGGGTTGACAGTGCGATTAGCTTATTTTAAGCTTAATGATTCTCACATTAAAGGTATCTTATAAACAACATTGTGTTGCAATAGTAAGCGTTTGTTGACATTAATTTGGCATAGCGTGCAACACTTTGTTGTGGCCTTGCCACTTCTGAGAAATACAATGTTAAAATTTATATTGTTGCCATGCAGAGTACCAATCCAATAATCTTTATGGATTTTTCAAAAATACACATTATACAGTATATATCCATTGGTCTGTATATTCTGTTTTCAACAGCTTTATTAAGTATTGTTTCGATAAGGAATGTTTCTTAGCTTTGTGAAACAGATTCCCTGTCTATTTGAAACTTTATTTTAGATAACTTTTCATAGTCATACCTTTCACTTGGAAGCTTGCTATCCAAACTGCTTCTAGTTCAGACAGCTTAAGTTTAATTACTGGTGGTACCTACTTCATTTTAAAACTCATGGCCCTGTGTTGCTAACTTTCTTTTTGAAGTCACATTAATGATAACTATTAAAATTGCATATGTAATAGTATGCTTGCATAATGGAGTGAACGATAGCCAAAAATGCATCTAGATGAATGCTGTTAATTTAGGTTGCCTTGATGTAGATCACTTACTCGTGTAATTTACTTGGAATGTCAAAATGAGCATTAAGATCAAACATCAAGTGGAAATGAGAACTGGGGAAAGCCAGGAGATGTGCACTGGGAACTGGGAGCTGATAGACAAGTTTCTCCCACTTGCTGTGGAGCAGTACTCAGAATGGTATATCTTGCTCCAACTTCTGGAACAAATGACCACAATCAGTGCTTTGCCTCAAACTTGTGTGATCAGATACTTAGAAAACTGGCCCAGGCTGGAAAAAAGATGGCTTTTTAAGTTGAGTGATTTCTGGAATAGTTGACTATATTATTTGGGTTTTATAAGTCTACCCACTAAAATGAACAAAAATAAACCATTTCACATCTGCTCAGAGGGGAAGCAGCTTCAGAAGCCTTTGTGTTTGGGTCTTTCTCAGATCACATTCCACATTTTAAATGGTGGCTCTCTTACATATTTAAGGAATCTGATGCGTCTACCAGATGTATGGATGAAAATAACTATGACAGGGAGAGATGTTCCAATTACTTCTTGAAGTACAAAAACTGCCGGCGATTCTGGGTAAGCCCATTTTGGCACACTTCTTGTAAAACTCTGCTCTTGTCTCTTGCCTGAAGCTGGTATCAATCAATAACCCACAGTCTTCCCAATGATGGCCATAGGGAAATTTAACCTTCATCCTCATCTTCTGTGTGGTATTTCAACTCCATGGGGTCCTTGAGAGATTGTTTCATTCTAAGGGTTAATGCTTCAGTTTTAATATAAATCAGTCTTCCTAGGGAAGTATCTTTAGTCATACAATAGCCTTGTGATAAATTTGTATTTCCTGAAGAAGAGGAGAAAGTTCAGGTTACTCTGACATCATACATCTCCTTAGACTTCTGTTTCTGTTGCCTTCCTCACAGGCAGTCACAGTTGTTAAAATGTGTCGAACACATTGATAATTCACTTTTGCTTCCCTGAGTACCTTATCTAGGTCCTTCTCCTTTTCTGATAATTAGTCTCACTTAATAATCATGCATAGTTTTTGTTAGTGGACCTTATATACTATTGTATATATGCTTCATGAGATATTCCTATCACAATTCCTGCTAATGTTTCCTGTGGGGATAATTACTAAAGTGTAAATGTTAGTAGATTGAACCATCTGGAGTTCCAGAAATAGGATTTGGAGTTTTAAAACTTAGGTTTTAGAATTTCCTTTTTTAATCAAAAATCACTGGTAAATTATTGCGACTTAATACATGACTGATTTTGATGTTTTCTTTTATGCCCATACATAGAATTCTGTCATGATCCAAAGAAGACAAAATGGAGTTCAGCCATCTATGCCTACAGCAGCAGAAAGAGATGAAATCTTGAGAGCAATGCAAAAGATGCCCTATTGAGTATTTGTATTAAAATTGTTTCTATAACTTGAAGCAGATGGAGTTTTTTTTTTATATATATATATATATCAATGATTGCTGAAATCTTAACACTTCACTGGTTTCATCCAGGCAATTTTGAGTTGTACAAGGTAAGACAGAATTCAGTTAGCCTTAAGTCTTTGGTGTTTGCTTTCAGTGCAGTGACAAGAATATGTTATTACCATGCTGTCCTTCATAGAAGGACAGCAGTGTTAGGAAGGGCTGTGGGAATTGTTGGGCCTAGAAAGAGACAGCCTGAGAACAGACTCTTGGGACTGTTAACAAAGGTAGTGTTTCTGAGGAAGGAAATGATGCAAGCAACTCTATGATGGATGGAAAGGGAACTGTGATTATGCTGAAGAATATCCTGTGTTTAAAATGAGTGGAGATGAGGTGGAGAGACACTTGGCAAAGTGAGTTGTGGGTAGATGTGTGGTAGCTGCAGACCTGGGCAATCCAACAGGAGGAAAAGAGTCTCAAGAGTAGGCAAAAGAACCAGAGACTATTGGGAGTCTCACAAGAACACCAAGTCAACAGCCATAACATATATGCATAGAACATAATGCAGACCCATGTAAGCCCTGTGCTTGCCATTTTAGTCTCTGTGAACCAGTGTAAGCCCATGTGAGCCCTGCGTAGTCAATTTGGTGAGGCATGTTCTCTAGGTGTCCTCCATCCTCTCTAACTACTACAATCTTTTCTCCCCCTTTTCTACAGGGTTTACTCATCTCTGAGGGAAGGAACCTGATGGGGATCTCCAATATGGATTCTCTCCATAATGTGTGGCTATGGGTCTCTACACCTGCTCCCATTTGCTGCCAGAGGAAGCCTCTTTGATGATGACTAGACAAGATACCAATCCTAGGTCTCTGGGGTATCCAGTCTCTGCTTCCTGGCCTTCCAGGCAGTGTAGGACATAAGCTCCCTCTCCTGGTATGGGCCTCAAGTTAAACTAAACATTTGTTGGCCACTCCCACAAGTTCCGCACTACAAAATATTTTCAATCTATGTTATTCAGATAGAATCGCATCCAACAATCAGGTCAAGTAAGATGTAATGGCTCACATGTTATCCCAGTGTTTAGGAAGCTGAGATGTGAAGACCACCAAGCCCTGGTCAGTCTGGTCATGTTCACTTTGGACTCTCCCAGATGTCTCTGCCTCTGGCTATACTCTCCCTTTTCTCCTCCATTCTGCACAATCATGTCTTCTCTTTTTTATTTCTTTTTTTTTTTCATTCATCTGGCGATGAAACCTAGGAGTTGTATAAATGAGTTCCTTTCCAAGGGCCTCAGCCTCTCCAAACCAAGCTACTGATTTGACTCTTAAGTGGTACATATGGATCATTTATTTCCACTGGCTTCTGTAACCCACAAAATTTGGTTCCAAATTCTAGAGTCCAGTTCTTCAGTTTCTGCTTCCCTCTACCTATTTTCTAACCATTTGTCTCTTGTCTAAGTGTCTCTCTGGCCTGCTATGCCCTCCATGTGGTTACCTACATGTTTCTCCTGCTCCTGAAGCCAGCTGTGACTCTGGCCTTCTCCACCCATGTGGATATCTCCCTTTCTCCTGTTTCCTCTCTCCTTTTCTACTGGATAAGTGTGGTGATATATTGTTTATGATTTAATAAAGCCACTGGAGATCAGAATGCAAAGTTAGCCACACCAGTTAGCTATAGAAGCTGGGCAGTGGTGGCACACACCTTTAATTCCAGGACTCAGGAGACAGAAGCAGATGGGTCTCTGTGAGTTCAAGGCCAGCCAGGGCTACATGAGAGTGAATCTGTCTAAAAGCATAACACAGTTCATGCCCAGCACTGGAGAGGTATATAAGGAAGAAGCAGAGGGTCTTGTGACATTTAGTATTCAGTCACAGGGAAGACAGAATCTTCTTTTCAGCCTTGTTAGAGGTAAGAGCTACTGGCTGGCTGCTTTGCTTCTCTGATCTTTTCAGCTTGAACCCCAATATCTGTCTCTGTGTTCTTATTATTCATGCTACAGATATGTGCCACTATGGAGCTCCCTGTTTTGTCTACTTTTACTAAAAATCATACTGGTGAGCTAGGCTGCCTTTCTTGCCCCACTGGGCTCACAGGATGATGGGTGCCTTGAATGGAAATTCTTGTCACAATGACACTTTGTCCACCAATGCTCAGCTAGCTGTCTTTCACCTTCCCATAGGAACTGCAGGCCCACTACACTATCTCTCAGCTCCTGCCTGCCAGTCCCACAGCTCTACTCTCAGTTCCCTCTTGGAGCTTATAGGAACACATCCTTGCCTCACATCCACCCCGGTGCTGTTCTGTTTTGCAACTCTTCCTCTCTTACTCCATGGACTCAGATTTTATTACAACATCTTGGTTTTAGTACAGATCAATGGCCAAAAATGGGCACGTTGATTCCCAAATTCTCCTGAATTGTAACAACTGCCACTGCATAAACAGATGGTCCCCAAATCATATCTAAACTTGCTCTGCTCTACACTTCCAAAAGTCTCTTATCTCTGAAGTTTACTTCCTACTCTTAAAAATCTTTCATCTCTATAATTTCTCTGTAATATGCTCTCACAAAATCTCTTAAGACTATGCAGTAAACTCTATTTCAGGATTTGTAAGTTTATTGGGTATGGTTAAAAAATGTATAACAAAAATTTGGTGGGGCAGTGGTGGTGTAGGCCTTTAATCCCAGCACTTGGGAGGCAGAAGCAGGTGGATCTCTATGAGTTTGAGGCCAGCCTAGTCTACAGAGCAAGTTCCAGGACAGGCTCCAAAACAATACAAAAAAACCCTGTCTGAAAAAAAACAAACAAAAATAACAAAAGTTTGGCTTTAAACTTACAACAAAAGGCTTATAATTAAAATCTATACATAAGTATGTATGTAATTCAGCTCTTGTTTTGAATATACTGCATATGTAATTTTTATTGAACTCTTACTTAAGAAATTAGGTATTTTTAAATAGCAACTATATGGTCCTCCTCTATCATGGCTGATGACTTCATCAAGATAGAAGCACCCGCATGGCAGCCATATTCACCAAGGTTAAGAGTATATGTTATGTGACTTTACCATCATCTTGATTAAGATGACCACATGGAATAAAGCAATAATTATAAAACCTCTCAGTCCTACTGTGCCCTCTGCTTATCATTGTTTCTCCTTTTTAGACTAAGGAAATAACAGGTCTCCAATATTTTGGATTGGTATGGAATTTTGTATGATGATTTTAAGGTTAACAAAAGCTGATTTAAGATGAATGTCTAATTATGTCTTTGCTAACTCTGTTCAACACCAGGCTTCTTAAAAATTAAGATAAATAACAACATATGTTTGATAAATAAGGTTTATAAATTCCTAAAGTTTATTCAGGTTCACAGTAATATTTGTCTAGCTTCTTTGTCTTTGCTTCTTTTGTTAAGCTTTAGTATTTGGATGACACAGGCACACAAACGTACAACTGATTCTAAAATGGTACACTATAAAAGGATCAGAAAAGTTCCCAGTCTCCATATGTACTGTATTTATGGTTTATTTGGATGCTGAAGGATCTTCAATTAAATAATTAACTCAAATTTTTAAGGCTTAAGCTTAACAGGGGTAAATCTGTAAATTCCTAATCTTATATTGACTGACTGGCTTTAACAGCAGCAAGCTAACCAGCTCTTCAAAGTGGACATGGCTGCCTGGTTCCCCCAGCATCTTTCAGTCCTTATTTGTTACAGGGTCCTCCTGGCTGGCATATCTTGACATTTACCCTAAACTTCTCCAGCCAAGGAATTGTTGGGCTTCCCTCCCCACAGCTATCCTTTCCAAACATTTTGATTACCGGGCCCCATTGGTCTATCCTTTACCCTCATAGCGTCTGTCTGGCTCCTTTCCTCTCAGGGCCAGGATCAGTCTGGTCATGTTCATTCTGGACTTCTCCTAGATAACTTCTCCTCTGGCTAAACTCCACCTTCTATCTACAGTAAACTTCCTCTTCCACCATATGCAGTCATGCCCTTCTTTATTTCTTCTTTTATAAGCATATAAGCATTCATTTTGCAGCTATTTGTCTTGACATAACCCTTTAAAGTTTTTCATTTACTATTTTTACCATTTCTTTTTTATTACTACCTTTATTACCTCTTAACCCCCAGTGCCTTCATCTGAGCATTTCTTCCTGATACCAAGTTGACTCTGAATTATGCTGTGACCACTAACTTTTCAGTCCTAACACCAGTCAGAGTTCCAGTTTTCACATCCTCAACACCTTTGACCTTCATGACATCCATCCTAATGGCTATTAATGGCTTGCTATCCTTGAAGTTTGACTGTAGGTCCTTTCAATATAGACATTAGTGTGTACCCAAGGCTTGGGAGAGGCTCCAGTGTGGTTACAAGACTGGTGTCTAATGCATGTCTAATGGTGTCTAATGTCTAACCACTATGTTAGAGTTTTTACCTATGAAGTGTCTTTCTTCTTTTGCTACCACACTGAAGAAAGTATTGCCTAATGTACTGTCATGAAGACTTACATGTGTATTTCTGTTTTTTTTTTTTTTGTTTTTTGTTTTTTGTTTTTGTCTCTGGTTTTACATCCAACCACCATTCCACTTTGAATTTCTTTTTACCTGTGGCTATCCAGTTTTCTGCTATCTATTAAAAAGACATTCTTTGTCCCATTGAATTAGCGTCTTGGTTGCAAAACATTGATAACATATGTAAGTGAGTGGTTTATTCTCTGCACTTTATTATGGGGATGCATGTATGTCTGTCTTTGGGCCAACACATTATCTTGATTATTTTAGTATTCTATCAGTGGCATTATTCTTTGATGCTGGACATCTGTTTTGTATATTTTCTATAAAGTGCTTAGATGGCAAGCTTACGTGTTACTGAGCACTCTACCATCATTGGCCAGTCTGGGGTCTCTGTGTTAATTGCCATCTACTGCAGGGAAAAGCTTCTCTTGGTAATGGTTGAGAGATGATCTGATCTATGGGGTTAATTAAAAATTAGGAGTTATTTTAATA